GTGTCATTAGGTAGCACAGAGAGAAGCCCCGACTCATCCACAAACTCCCTCAGCGCCCCGGCGTCTTGCTGGCACGAAGCGCACTCTCGAAGTTCCGTCAGGTTCTCGAGCGGCATGATACGAAAGGCGTACTCGAGGGCGCCCGACGGTGTGATCTGCGAAGAACGTAAGCCACACGTGCAAATGAAATGAAGAACGTCTTACCCATGCATGTCAGGCAGACAGGCAGCATGCCCTGTAACTGCTTACGGTGTGCTGTGACTGAAACTCGGGCCTGCGTGACAGTAGCTCCCACTTTTCGGTCGTGTGCCATGTTGCAGGGATGCTGCTGTTCGTCGTGTTGAGAGTTGGATCTGCTGCAGCGGCATAGAAGGCGGCAAGCACCAACAGATGCCGAAGCCAGCAGCCTTCATGCAGCCTCATCACCTCCTTAGATCGGCACAAGGGATGTGTCACAGACCAAACCGTTTCACAGCATACACCAAGCGATGCTCTGCATATCCCAGCAGAAGTGAGCCATCTTGGGTGAGGAACTTGCCTGGGTTGACTTTGTCCATTTGAGTGTCTGTAGCTCGTTGTTATCAAGTTGTGTCTCGCTTCCGGACCTCCGCACCTGGCGTCTGAAACGGGTGTTTTCCCATGATGGACTAATTGTGACTCTCAACCCAGGGACGAATGCATGTGGGCACGGATGCCTCGGGCTGTTAACTTCCATCGCCGAATAGGCCATACCACATTTTTTTTCTCTATGAAACGGGCGGCGAAGTTCCTCTAAGCATCAGTTCGTATCAAGCAAGCGAAGGGAAACATTACATGCAGAAACAATGGACAATGTTCATTGACTGCGAGAACATGTTGCACACTGCAAACAAGCGTGAGACATGCAGCGTGACATTCAGGTGTCCTCCTTTTTATGTTTCGGTCTGCTCGCATGCCTGCACGCGCGCCAGCCCCAAGTTGCCGGCAAAAAACTCATAAGCCACCTTATTGCGGCTGTATGAATGTCAACCCTGTCCTACCAACGCATACACAGAAAGTGCGCACCATCAGCTTGACTCGTCGCAACGCACATGCATCAGGATACACGAACGTATCGCAGTGCAGACTGGACCGGGGCCAGAACCATGCAAAATAATAGATGCTGCACACACATGCGAACCAGTAAGCCAGCCAGCCTCTCGCGCGCTTCTTCCGCTGCACCCCCACCCCCGTGTGACAACACACACATATAGAGAGGGACGGAGCGTGAGTACAAGAAAAAATACACTTGCTGACATCAAAATCACGGCATGACCGTACAACTGACTAATACACCGTACTAACTGACTAATTGATCATAGATTGAGCGGCCAAGACAGATAGACAGACAGACAGACAGGCAGGTATGAACCGTACGAAGACTGGCAGGTACACCGCCACACACATCTGCATGTATATCCCTCCCTGCACGCACTCCCTCTTGGCCTTCCCTCCAGAATTTTGGAGGCAGCCATGGCATTGCACTGATGAGCAATGACTTATATATATGCCTTCATTCATCACCATCACCGCCATCCCCCCCGTCACTGCCCCCATCCCCATTATCCTCACCAGCTGGCCCACTGTCGCGCCCGAAACCACCACCTCCTCCGTCATCTCGGCCGCCGACACCACCACCGCCACCTCCCCGGCTGTCATCCCGCCCTCTGTCATCGTGTCCTACGCTGGAACCTCCACGGTCGTTGTCTCTCAGGCCGGAGCCACTTCCACTCTCGCTGTCCTGTGTTGGAGGCAACACACCTTGCCACGTGTTCTCATCTGGCCTGCCAATTGTTGACCGCAAAAGATGATCGACGAGCACACTCTGTGATTGGGTGCATGCACTTACGGGTCATCTGCCTCAGGAGGGTCGTCGACGTCCCTGAGACTCCCTGAGACCACCGAGGTCACATCAACATTCACACGATGCGTGGGTCGTCAGAAGGAAGCGTATGCTTACTGGTCGTTGGGGTCCACAAGGACATTGCTGTTCCCAGGGACACTCCTGGGGTCCACAAGGACACCGCTGTTCTCAGGGACACCCCTGAAACCACGAGAGACATCAGTCACACCATGGCTGGGTCAGAAGCTAGTCATTAGCCAAGTAGGAAGTGAACGCTTACAGGTCCCCATTAGACGGTGGTACCACTTCGCTGTTGCCGTTTGGGTTCCCAGAGCTGCCGGTGGTGCTGCCGGTGGTGCTGCCGGTGGTGCTGGTGCTAGCTGCTGAAAGAAACACACGACCGCTTCGGCGACGCATGCTATCGTTCTCTTGTCATTTTGCGCACCTGAGTCCCATCGACTGCAACCCAAGCCCGTCGAGTAGGCTGGAGTCGAGGCTGAGCTTGAACTGTCGGTGCCGTTGAATATGCCAGTCAACCGATCCATTTCCTCGTCCGTCAGCACGGACTGCAGCTTTCGCCGCTGATCCCCGTCTCCTTGATTCATCACGGCACCTCGGCCGCCATCGGTCAATCGCTCCTCCTGCACTGCGCGGAGACGACGGCGCTGGTCCAAGCAGACAGACAGAACACAGAACACGCAGACGATGCGTGACTGACTGTCTGCCTTGAGTGCGGCTGACTGACCTGCTTGACGTCACCACTTCCGGCGGCCGCTGTGCTCGCTGCGCAGCAAAAGAGAAAGACCGCATAAGCCGCACCGGTGTCATCCTGCCTTGATTTGGGACTCGCTGTGTGACACCACGCAAAGATCTGATCGTGTGCTTGGTGATCTGTCGTGAGGGGAGGAGACAGGCAGAAGACAAGCTCTCTCTTCGATCTCGGCACTCCCCATTAGCGGTTTCATGCAACACCCTACCCCATTCAAGGCTTTAGGGCAACAATGTTTCAGTCTGTCTTCCTCACTGTCTTCCGAGGAACACAACTACCGCGTCTAGCGCCTTCAGTCTACCTCTCTTGCGTCTAACCGCGTCTGTGCCTTCAGTCTACCTCGCTCCTCTAGCATGGTGATGTCATTCCTGCTGCTCGTGTTCTACCTCGTGGGAGCATTTGCTCGTCTGGCCATTCAGGTGCGTGTGTACGCTTCCCTTGCCTCTGACCGACACGCAGATGACACCGTGTGGTGTGTGTTTATGTGACAGCTGGCCCTGATGGTGATAATCAACTGGTCTCCTCTCGGACCCTCGTCGTGGCCATCGGGCTGGGCACTGCGGAAGGGCCTAATCATCGCGTCATATCTCGGCCTCTGCTTGGTTGTCATCATGATAGCACCACTCGTGTTTGTAGCCTTCGCTCTCGCGTGTGGATCATTCATCGGCCTCGGGTTCTTGCTGTTCGTGTGGTCATGGCGCAGCAGTGCCAATGCCTCTGAAAATCGTGCGGCTGGTACGCGAAAGGGACAGAGGGAGTACTGTCATGCCTGAGCTTACGAGCTCTCTGTTGTCCTTTGATCCGTGCGCTGCAGGTCGTCAGCCTGTCACGCAACAAGCGTCCACTCGCCCGTCTGCTACACGCCTCGCGCCTGTCCTCCCAGCCCCCCTGATGGACGACGGCAATGCCCGCACAGGCCCTCACGACCTATGTAAGCAGGAAAACAGCTGCCTTGTGTGGGTCACTGCACAAGCTGCATGTTTATCGTTTCTTATAACAGGTGCGATATGCTCGAACGCTTTCAGTGACGTGTCGCCGCGCTCCCAGCTGGTCCGCACACCGTACCCGTGCTGCCTCACCAACGTGTGCGGTGACTGCTCGGCAAAATGTCGCGAGACGTCCTCGCTCTGCCCATTCTGTCGCACGGACCTTTCCCCGTTCGAACGCACAGCATGCCAGTTCCTTGAGGACGCGGGCAGGCGAAGAAAGCGCTGGGGGTGGTTTCGGAGGCTTTCGCTGCGACGGTCTCGAAGGTGTGGGGGGACATAGAGAGATACCCGTGCGCTTCCGTGTTGTTGCTTACGGGAGTACTGACTGCTCTCGTCCATTCGCTTAGATCTGTTATCTTGCTGTACGTGTGCGTGACATACATCCGCACACAGGGATGCTGTTTACTGTCCCGTGTGTGCCGAAAGAGGTGCATGTCGGTGTGTACGTGTCCGGAGTAGGTGGTTTTCTTTTTCCCTTTTCAAAGTGATC